TTGTTATACGTAATTTCACGAGCCGTTAGGCGAGTGAAATTTGAGACAATTTTGAAATATCACAAGTGGTATTTATGCCAAATATCACGTACAAATCATGCTATTATTTGTTTATACCACTACCAGTAAAGGTTTGCAATTTTCACATGTAGGTATTTCAAATTAACCTGAAATACCACTGCTCTAAGCCAATCAAATTGCAGAAATTTCTCATGTAGTATGATATTTCGCATAAATACCACGAGTGATATTTCAAAATTGTCAAACGTAATTAAGCGAGCCGTTAGGCAAGTGAAATTTGAGACAATTTTGAAATATCGCGAGTGGTATTTATGCCAAATATCACGTACAATACCACCCAAAAAAAGGTTTGTAATTTTCACATGTAAGTATTTCAAATTAAGCTGAAATACCACTGCTCTAAGCCAATCAAATTGCACAAATTTCTCCTGTTGTAGTATAAAGCCCATATGACCCAGGCCATAAGCTAATTGATGTCTCAAAGAAAAACGATATGGCCCTTTAACCTTCCTCACACGTGCGCTAGACTACTTTGCACTTGCTTGAAAGGTCTTTGTGACATGCCCTTAAGGGGCCGACAAGTAAATATCTTATACAGAATGTATTTTGCTTTTCTCCTCAAGTCAAGTTTTCTTAAAGTGTACGCCACTGGGTTGAAGAGCGATGGGCACAACCTTAGATAGTAAATAGTAGTGATAACGAATTCTGGGATACGTGGATCCTGAAGAACGAGCTCAAGAATGAAATAAGGCAACCAAAATAGCACGTAAAGACATAACAGCAATACGCATGTCAGGACAGCCCTTCTTTTACGTCGTTGTTTCTTCTTTTCGTGTCTTAAAAAATCGGCTGGCAAGTTTTCTTGTGATATTCTTCGACGTTGTTTCCGTATTAACAGCAACATACGTGCGTCTAACGCAACCATAACAATCAGTAAAACTCCGAAAAAAACGATGAGGTTGAATAGGAGGTAAGTCGTTTCTTCTTCTTTAACAAGACCCAGGTCTTCTGCGGCGTTGTGGGTATTGACGTGCAAGGTCCATGATAGACGAATCAGAGAAGACAGACTTATGAGCCATATGAAAACCAGAACTGTCATGACCCTGAAGCGGTTGACGATATGGCGATACCGCATAGCCCAATTTATGTAGATGTATCGATCGCAAGTCATGGCAGTGATGTGTAGCACCGTTGACTTTGACATAAAAGTGAAAAATGTGTTGGCGCTCAGGCAAACTGGAGTTAAAAATGTAGCGCTGCATGCGACAACGAGAGGTATACCCAAGAAACCCACGAGAAAATCTGACACGGCTAAACTGCAGAGGATAAGGTTACTGGTGGTTCTAAGAGAGGAGAAGCAGCAAATGAGCAGAATCACACCACCGTTTATTAACAGAATAGCAACCATCATGATAATGGCGGGAATCGTGTCCAAGCGAATTCCAGATGAATGGACGAAAGCAGACTGCGTATTGTTTCCAGAGTCTGCCATTGATAGTAGTTTGCCTGCCCTTCTGAGATCTATATCATGTGACTGTCTTGTGTCTGATGCTTACAGATTAACTTCGTTGCTTGTTTGGCGTTCAATCAGAAAGTAGATCCAAAGACGTTTATCACGAGCTGTTTGTCCTTGAGGGATTTGTATCACAGGCTGTTTCTTCTGTAAGAAAAAAAAAGATAATTGCTATAGTTTGTTGAAAGAAATGACTTCTGATAGACCACAATTAAGATTTCGTACTAAAGCGATAATCGACTGAACGTGCTTGCAAAGCTCGATGAACAGGTGTGTTTGATTTACGCATTTGCATATCACCCAAAAAACAAATATAACAATGAAAAGTCTTTCACCAACAAAAGTTTCGCCATTAATAAATCAGCATCAAATCAAAATATTAGGCAAAAGCCAATTTTCTGAAATACAGTCTGTTTCGAGAAATGAAACTTTGAGTACCTCTCAGTACTCTATAAGGATTCATTTAGAAGTTCAAAAGTCAAACAATCGTCTAAAATATGCTTTATAAAGATGGTGCCGGCCTTTTTGAACCAATGAAATAATCGCATAGACTCCCTCTACATCAATGTTAATTTCAGATCCGAATCGCCATCAAATTCAATTACATCGCTCGCATTCGTTACGATAAGTGTAAACATTTCACTTTTCTGATGTTTGGTAATCAATTTCTGAAGTTTCCTGAGTAGGCAAACTTTTCCATTTTCCAATAAAAAGGTGCCACTCTGAGGAAACTGTTAATTGTACCTTATTTACGTACAATTTTTAAAAACCTTCTGGGTGGATCACCTATAAAATTGCTAATAAATGATATGGAACCTCAGTATAACGGCGTTTTGATCACATCGGTAAGCATCCTTTTATACATAGATCAAAATTTCTATCACGATTATCGGGTTTTATACCTTGGGTTTTAAGTAAATTGGAATACATTTAATTAATTAAAAATGACAGATCCAAAATCATGGCGGATTGTTCTATTACCTTCTGTTACATTAGATGACGTCATGATGTCATCACTGCTATTGTTAAAGATTATATGTTGGCAAACTCTATCTTTTTATCAGATAAACTATTACGTAGGCTTTTTCCTTTATGACCATTTGAGGGGAAAATTGATGAAATTTGGGTTCTGCCAATAAATTCAATAATATAGCGTCATAATGACGTCAAATTACGTCATTGTGCCGGTCAAGTGGCCGTATTATGAGAAGGTTTTGAAGTTGTAGAGGGGGCAGAAGCAAAAAATAAATAGGGTTAAAAGCCTTTGAAAACAATAACCCATCCCTGGGTTTTCAAAATTGTTGATATTATATTGCTATGAGCCCGCGAGTCGGTTGGAACCGTAAGGGCCTGGAAACTATATATAACGTGTGTAGGACCCGCCATGTTCTTAGTTCTAGTTCTGACTTTACATACTTGTGAGACCTAACTGAGTTGTGTTCTACTGCCTGAAGTAGCACTTGACAACAAAAATCACAAGCAAAAGTTCAGTTATAGTTTCTTCTTTTTACCTATTTCATATCTGTCATAATGGTGATTTCATTGAAACCGTCTCGTCAGGCAATAACGAGAATAACTGCTGTCTAGTCTCTGCTTTACCCAATTCATTACCCCAATATTGGCTAACGAATACTGAACTCCTTGTGAATCTTAAAAAAATGATTGAAATATGCTATAGAATACTGTGTTAACAACGGTTGATATACTATGGCATACTAACTCAAGCACCGACGTTTAGTAACCTCTAAGGATGGTTCTTTCACTGTAACTTTTGCTTTCTTGATTACCTGTCACAGAACAAGTTTCTAAATGTACCTTTTACAATCCTCACTTTTTTCTCCAAAGTTTTTGGTTTTACCGGGTTGCTGTCGTATGTGCTGGCTTATGATTAGTACAGTGTGCATCTGGTTATACTACATGGAAATAAGATAATACGGAAAAACTTTACGTTTAATTAAAAATTGTAATGACTGTTTGTCTTACAGTGTCAACAAACAGACCAAGGGGTTTTGTTAAGTCGTAACATTTTTACGAAAAGCGGAAATTACATCGGCCAAGGGATAGATACAATCCTTCACTTACCAAGAAGACTTGAGTGTAGTACGTAATTAACGTGTCATGAAGAATAATTGGGAAAATGGAATATTCGCAAGTAGACAATAGACTTATGGACTTACTTGTACGTAACAATTTTCGCGGTTCTTCACAAAACGTTTAGTTTCAATTTCAATATGTATTGTGCATCTTAATTGTGAACGCAAACAGGTATATACTTGTAGGAGCAACGAAACAGACTTGTTTTAATATGGTGGCCGAGTCTTTCTTGAAGCTGCTGAAGATGGAAATGCCCTCGATTTTTTGAGCTAGTGGAGCAAGGTTTGATTACGCCTAGGTATTTTAACAGAGCTGTGACAATGTCAATAGAATAACGCACTTGCAACTTGTCACATGTAAAATGCATCAGAATTCTAAAGAGCTGTCACCTTGGATGTGACATTATGTTCGAAAGTGAAAAATAGGGTCAAAGCAATATATGACCACGCCATCAAATCTGGATTTGTATAACTGGAATATGAGATTAAAACACAATGCCACACTTACTTCGGTACACTATTGCCCAGTTTCAGTTGATGATGATGATGATGATATGTGATTGATTTTAGATGTCAAGAGATGGTGACCATGAAAACCGTGTTAACAAAAAACTATTTTAGATAAATGTCAGACTTAAAGAGACAAATGTCATAGGTTAATGAATGTAAATAATGGGCAGTCTGTGCAACCGAGTGCAGGAGCACTATGGGTAGAGAACAAAGTGTTTAACATGGCGGACTGAAACTCGTGTGAACTGTGCTTTCAACCGAGAATCCGTACCATCAAGGACCTAGTTTTGCGTGCAGACGTTACAGTACCTGTAAAAATGTTTTGAAAATCAAAGCTAGAGTTTGAATTCATCACGGAATTTTTTCCCTTGGCTCTTCCCTCGTTGTGCAGAAGGTTGAGGATTAGAGAAGCTGAGTATCACTGTGTTCTTTATACAGAAAGAAATGCTGCCGTTGATGTAGACAGCTAAGATGCAATTAAGATACGATCACAAGTGTTTCAGTTCATTCTTCTCTGTCTGCGCCAACCTGAATAACCTGATAAAGGGATTTCGAATAAACGTCAAGAAAACCTACATTACTTTCTACCTGGGCATGACGTAAACGAACAGTAGGAACAAAAGCAGGATTAAATAAAGATAGCTTACATTGTCGATGTGCCCGTTTGAGTCTTTGTGTCGGTTAGATTCAGTCTGCACGAAAATCATAAAACTCGGCTTTTCTTTCTTCTTGTTGTCAAGTGAGTTGAAAAGATCAGGCTCTTTTACTTTCTAATGACAAATGGGCAATCCGTATATATTTGAGAAAGCTAAGTACTTAGGACAGGAACGCGAAAGGAAATAATAGTAGCGTAAATATATGGACTCTATCAGACAATACAATGGTGCATACACTTAAGACTAGAGATATATGTACCAAAAACACAATGCAGTTATATTCTAGAAACCAAACAAACGAAAACCTGTATCTTCTATTACGTTCTAATAAAAGTACGTTCTATTACGTCGATAAACTGAGGTAATTAGTGTACTAATCCTTTCCCAACCAAAAAACTATAGTCAAGGATTTGGAAAGCACTAAACCAGGGAAAAACCTTTGTTTTCTTTGAGGGTAATCCATTAAAAAAAATTGTCATTGAATTGTAATATGTTCAGTCGTTTATTTAATATTAAATGTTAGCAACTTTTGATAAGTCAACGAATTAATATGTGTAACTAGTATCAAACTTGGCATAAACATCCGCCCATTATCACGAAACCCTTAGTTCTCGTAGACTCTAGTATTTGTGAAAAAGCTTATTACTTTTGGCTAAAGCGAAAATAGACTGGCCTGTCACGGAAAATACGTGTCGATAACGGAACTCATGAAAGTCATGCAATTTGACCATTCTGGAAGCTTTTCACAGACCGGCCTTTTTTGCCACTCAGAAATGTAATTCTCGCAATTTTATATCCAGATATTTGCTGACACAAAACAGAAAAAATTACGGTCAGATTTTGACTGAATATTAATGGCACTGGATATAACAAATGCAAACTTGTGAGGATACGAAAAATTCACCGGACATGTTTGAAGTTGATAAAATTCAGGAGCTCTGATAGAGATTTTCTATTATTCTACATTATTTACTCCCGTTTGGCTTTGACTTATTTCATTATTACTGTACAAGGGATATTATGAAACTTGGACGAGTTTGAAATCGTTCTTCATCTTCTACGTCCAACTGAGCTATGACGTCACTTTTTATAGTTAAAATACATAATTTATTTCAGAAGAAAGAATACAGCATTTTAGTTACATTCGGGAATAATCGTCACAACACCATCAAAAGAAAAAATAAACAATTACTATACATTTCCTTATTTTATTCTACTTTTGTATATTAACCCATGTTTAACATGGAAACACAAGAATATTTAACAACGTTCTAGAATGCAAACGAAGAACACAAGCGAGCCACAAAAAAGCTTGCAAAAACTGGAAAAATGTAATCGATCTCCTTAATTATCAATTCTTAATCATTTCTTACTTCTGGAAAGCAGACGATTAAAATAGCATTTCAAAATATTGTGCACAGCGAAGAGTGCCACTAAAGAGAACAAACAGCTCGCTAAAACATGGAAAACATCGAGTGATCTCCTATAAATCGCTAGCTAGTAGCCAGTTGGACATTCTTTGGTATTGCATTGACTGCACTCTTATAGTAATGTTCGCTGGTCATGCAAAGCGATCGAAAGACCAGGCGAAAACGAGCATTTATTATTAAAAGATGTACTATCTTAACCAAGTGCTCTACAAAACAGTCTTCTGACCACGATATATTGCGCGGGCTTTTTCATTCAGGAAATAATTAAAAAGCGGGATAGTGGATAAACAGGAAACATTAAACGTACCTTTCCATCAGGTATAGTTTGTTCGTATCTAATTATTTTCTGTTTTACGGTACACGGTGTTCCCAAAATGAAGTGGCACTTAGTTCATTAATCCACACAGTTCTTCGTCCTTTGATACCCTTAGCTCATATCGAAAAATTCATACGATAAATATTGACTGCCGGCATTTTATAAAAACGTATCTCACTCCCACAGGCAATTTAGAATTAATGCAAAATAAATAACAAGTTACATTACGTCAATTATCTGAAAATACTGTCTGAAATGTCACAAGGATCCATTTACTCTTCATTTTTTGCATAAATTACTTTCTAATAGCTGTCAAAAGTAACATCATTTTGCTCATATGCATGTTTATCCATTCGCTTATGAAATCAATATTTATCCAGTAGCAAATAAAAGGGATTCAGTCCCATCTTCCGTAAGGATTTTCAAAACGATGTTGAGATAAAAACGCTTCTTCTCATACTTTTAGTGTTTGGTTAATTTGGTCATGCAGTCTTAGGTATATTTCCCGAAAATCAAAGATGGCCATCATTTGAATGAGGCAATTCATATTTTGCTGTAGATCTTGTACCTAGGGAATATCGTTTACAGAGAATACATCTTACAGTTTCCTGAGCAATGCTTCTTGGATATTTTCCAAAATATACCTCGAGTTATAAAAAACAGGCAGCATCGCATCACCATTAATGGTACAGTAATGAGATAATTATGCTGATGGAATAATTATCGTCACTTGTGTATCAACACAAATTCATATTTTTAATTGTTGATGTTGCGTGCTGTTCGCGAAGGTGCCTTATTAGTAAAAAATATAGTTGAGGGAATTTGTATAGGATCAAAGCATTAAAAGGCCAAACTCACGCGACCTGTCACATTTTAGGGTTGGTCACAAAAACCCGGGGGTGGGGCGGGGGGGGAATACTTTAGTCTTTCGTCTTCGCGAGGCTTCCCGTTGCCAATAACGGTTTTCTCGGTTTTCCACAGGAGGCCCAAGCTAGGTGCATAAATTACGGCGAGTTTCTATACTGTTTTGACTATTACGAACGATTTAAAGACTTTGTACGAGAAATTCAGTATAGTTGTTGAAACGTAGAAATATGGCATAAATATGGAAATTACTGTACTTACGTAAACTTGGGCTTGTTGTTGCTTTTTCTGCGTAACCTGGGCTCAATTCATGGCTATTTTATGCGCTTTTGCGGGTCGTTGTTTGTTCGGTGTTGTTTTCCTCCATAGAAAGAAGCAAGGCAGGTCACTGTGTGCAGTCACTACTCACAAATCTCTAACGCATCAAAGAACCGAGCACCGATTCACCATGAAAGCGCCAAATCCTTAAGGCCAGGTCAGTCACTTATCTCCTCCCATCGTCATGGGTATTGCGATGTGTTTTTTGTGGGCAAATGTTTTTAACGTTATTGGTTCTGGGCTATCTAACGTGCTCTCAGGAACCTCGATGACTACGTGTCGCGTGGTGAACGCAAACATTTTATTATTATACGCTTATCCATTTGGATAATTCCAAACCGTTTGTCATGCAATATTGATTACCCTGATCCCCTGAGTCCATCTTCGCGTTCACCACGCAACACGTAGTCATCGAGGTTCCTGAGCACACGTCAGATAACCCAGAACCAATAACGTTAAAAACATTTGCCCACAAAAAACACATCGCAATGTCCATGACGAGGGGAGGAGATAAGAGACTGACCTGTCCTTAAGGATTTGGCGCATTCATGGTGAATCGGTGCGCAGTTTTTTGATGCTGGAGAGATTTGTGAGTTGAGACTGCACACAGTCACCTGCCTTGCTTCGCTTTATGTAGGAAAACAACACCGCCGAATAAGCAACAAGCCTAAAAACCGTATAAAACGGCCATGAATAGAGTCCAGGTTACACAGCAACAACAGGCCCAAGTTTACGTAAATGCAATTATTTCTATTCCATTTTTTTTTTTAATGCCTATTTTTGAATTTCTCACACAAAGTCTTTAAATTGTCGTAATATGCAAAACAGTATAAAAACTCGCAGTAATTTATGCAACGAGCTTGGGCCGCCTGTGGTTTAGCCTGTGCATTACCATGGCTAATAGCTGCGGAGAATTATGGGTTTGGGAAGGGCCTTCATCCCGCCAGATTCCGAAATTTGTGTTGACCAAATGAAATTTAGAAACAACCATACATATCTTCCAGGCTTAGTTTTTTAAGGATCTAAACTGCTTGAGAAAAGCTAATCAAGGTAGCACCCTTATGATGTTTTTGGCCTGGAAAAATTGGGATTATTATTTTTTTATTTTTTGTGTGAACATACATCTGTTGAAATCTCAATCCTACAACAAGACTGGAAATTCAAAGTGATTGTTCTAGTTGTAGGCTGTTTGCTGAAATACTGTGCTAATCCTTGGTTAAATACGTTAAAACAACTTTAAACGTAGATTAAATTGATATCAATCAAGGTTCAAACAACTGAGCATTGAGAACTGATTTAATATTTTTGGTAACGATCTCCTTGCACCTTTAAAAACAATATTAAGAAAAATACAATTCCTTAAAATTTTAAAGCATATGTGTCAACCCTTGATCACGGAGGAATCATGTCTCATACGTTTTTCAGCTGCGTATGTGGACGACTGCTTTAGAGTGAATACCCAAATAAAGCTTTCTAGAAGTACTTGTAAGTATAGTTCAATTTGTTATAAATGTTGAAATGAAATTTACAATTTATTTTCTTGGGAATTTTGAATCCCACGTCTGGAGGCAAAATTCCAGTTAATTAGTCAGGCGAATAAATGATGAAGAATGAACGAGTTCGTTCACAAGCCAGCGGAGCCGTTCATTTACCAGAAATTATCGAATAGTAGTCTCTTGTTCTTTTAATATTCAAACTGTGTGCTCTGTATTGCAATAAAGCAGCGATTTCTATATCAACAACAACAGGTTAGCAGCGGTAAAAAGTTAAACACATTTAGTAATTACCTTACTCTAATTCCAAATGGCAACTGAAAAAAAAGAGATGAGCTCTTAAAACGAATTCGAAGACTTTACAAATACCAATAAATGTAAAAATAACATAACTGCTTAAAGTTCATCAAGGACTCGCTAACGAAAGAAGTCATTAGCGCATGAAAATCGTGTGTTATTGGCCATAAACACATTGCAATCAACCAATGAGCTTCCAGATTTTCACAGTTCTAAAAGAGCACGAAGTTTGGACATAGAAAGGCTTTATAAACTTAGTATTTACTTTCCTACCTTTGCACCACAGGAGATGATAGCTGTAAGCTTCGCTACTTTTCGATGCAAGATAATAAATTTAAGAAGCAGCTGAGATATACATATTTAGCCAAATTTAGAGGTCGATATTGCTCCCAATACAAATTTTAGCCGCGTGAGAAAACGAAAAAATGCCAAAAATGTTTAATTAACCTGCCGACTTTATTGATTTCAGGTATTGTGGCCTTGTGAAGT